TCTCCACCTTTGCCGGTCTATCACAAGAAAAATATTAATAAAGGAATTTACCATTTTAACCAATAATTTTTAAATGTAAAAATGTATATTACCAGTATATAATATTTTAATTTATTGGCAAGTGATAAAATCATTCCTTGTGATTTACACCCACAGAACACGGCCAATATACGATAATACTGCATATGTTGCCAGCGTGTTATGGTTTTGTTGTTTGGAAACCAGAAAAACTTACGAAACCAAGCACGGTTTTCTAGTAGTATATCAATCAATTCATGCTGAGGATCAAAAAATCTTTGGAAAAGTATTTATAAAATTATTTAAATATAATACAAGCAAGTAAAAAAATTACTTATACAAGATATAAACATTCCTTACTCTAGCCATGTAAAATTAACTATAGCATCTTTCACGTACTCAAATTCATCATCGCCATTTTCAATGCGTTGAAACAGTAATTCCAAAATGTTATAATGCACTTCAGCTAATGGCCTTTTATCCGTAGTAGAAGTTTGATTTGCTAATCAAGGAAAAATACGATAATGAGATAGAAGTTTATAGAAAAAAAAATTCTAATGAAAAATTTGAATGTTACCCATCACATTTTCATAATAATTTATTAGAGGATTTAGTACGGCTTCGGGGGGACTAACTGGATCTATACGGTGATATGCTTTTCCAGCTTGAACCCATTCAGTGTCTTCATTTCGATGCTTGTACAAAATATCGAATAAAAGCCTTTAAGAAATGTTATGTCAATATAACAATTATTAAAGAATATATAACTCATATCAACAGAAATACCTATGGCCAATAACAATGTGTGGATTTTGATTGCAAAAGCTCCGTACGATATCTAAGGCCTCATCAATCATATCATCAGCTAATAACAACTTTTTTTTTAAAAAAAAAAAAAGATTGTAAGAATTGCTTGTAACTGATTTAATCCACATTAACGATTTAAACGATTACCTGTGTATAGATTACGAGAAACATATCATTTGATTTATCCATTTCTAGCGCCATTCTTAGAGAACTAATACTTAATTCGTAATATCTTGCCTGTTGTTCAATACATAGCTCAAGATCTTACATGTTGATCAATTTTAACGAAATAAAGAATTAATATATCTGATTTGGAACAAGAGAGGTTTAAAGGAATAGTAGTAGCACCATGTATAACGGGTTCTTCATTTATATCCTCATTTTCTTGATCAACTATCGGCCTAGTAACACTGGAACCATTAATAATGACATTTGTTTGTTCCCATAACGCAAAAGCGAGCATTCCCGTATAACCAAAAATCAGTGGGTTATCTTTGTATGGTTGTTGTGTTAGATATCTGTAACATAGATTAAAATTATTTTTCAATTTTATAATAAAATATCAGATCAAATAAATTTAAAGAGTGCATTACGTATCAAGAATTTCAAGTGCGTCTCGTGGCTTGCCAGAATGTAATTGAAAAGAAATTAATTCTAACAATACTTCTTCCTATGAACATATAATAAAGCACATAATTAATATAATAACATAATTAATATAATATTTAATCTAATCAGATACAAAAATTCTGGTAAATTTACCTTACATCTGGTATGTAATAACATTTGGTTAAAAAAATCTATGCACGTTTTTTCAGCATTTCCAAGGTGCATTAATACATCTATAGCCGCCTTTTAAAAAAAATTGAAAAAATAAAAAATATGATAAACGGGATTAAATGTTGTATATACTATTAATCATATTATGTAACAAGATATTTTATTACCCTCCAAACGTGAGTAACATCGACCTCAGGACATTGTAATAAAATTTCAACGATACGGTTGGCTCGACAATAATTTCTATCACTAAGTGATGTTACGAGCAACTCATGTAGGTTTATTAAATGGGCCCTCCGTACGGTAAGGAAAAAATCATCATTAAGTGATCTAATGAAATCAAAATTTCGAGGCATTTAAATTATGCGAACTTCCTATCGTGATACGATAGATAAAAAAATATATATGTATCAAATATCATATGACTTTAAATGATATGATCGGAGATTGAAATACTGATACGCGTTTAACAGTATAAGAAAGTTGGTTAACTTATGCTACTCTGACAAATATAGACGATGTGAATAATGAATAATAAACAAAATAAAACTTCAAGTGAACACATCGAAGGATCTGAAATGAAAAAAAGTCAAAAGAATGCTTCCGCACCAACTAATTCCACCCATAATCCAACTTATAAGATTTATTAGAACTCGAGCTGATGGTTCAGAGAAAGAGTCGGACGTCTCATTCGTCCAAAAAAACCGCTCTTAGAGGATAACTTGAGCAAAAGCTACTTGATGAAATACTTGAAAGAATATTAATGATTCAAGGGAACAACCCGCTCAGAACCGGGAACCGCGCCACGACAAGTACCGGTGGAAGAGAGATGGTCGAGTTTTTTTAAAAAACTGCTGGGCGATTTTATAATTTACGCACAAGCTTGATCATTACAAGAGAGAGATATATATATAATCATACTTTATTTGTATTATCAAATATTGCTTTATATCATTATAAATACAGTATAGTGTGTAAGCGATGTTCTCAAATAATGGATTTAGATCAATATTTCTCATTTAGGCGATAATAAGACCAAAGTAGCATAGCATAATAGTAAATCTTTATACGTAGTCATAAAAATAATCACAAATGAGAAGTGATAACGGTTTAATTACATTATAAAAGTTTTTAATTAATGCTATCGCTATTAAACATAAATTGTAATGCAGTGCTATTGCAGAAATCTGGAACACCCTTGAACTTTTGGATTGTTTCAATGTTCCAATAAAGAGAATAATCTTTTAAACGGGAAGTTCTAGACCAGCTACATGATGATATTTTTAATAAATTAGAGGATATCCGCACGGTTAACCAGGGATGGGTTCGTTATAACTGATTACTTTAACATGAAGTTTTAGGTGTTTTTTTTATGATTGGGTTAGGATTTATGGTTAGGGTTTATATTTAAAGATATATGATAACTCAGAAAAACGGTTAAAAAATTTAGAATTTGACCTTAAACGATTGTCATCGGTTATAATCGAACCCATCTAATAGAAAAAATTTTACAAAACTTTCTTATATCGAGAGTTTATTAGTAAATTCTTATATCTCTAGATCACGTAATATTGTCCTGGCTCAGAACACACAATAGGTCCTCGATACTTGATGTGACGGCAAAAATACTGTTCATGGTGGAGT